TATTTATTACTGATGTTCTTGTACATATGTAGCTGGACAATCAATACAAACAGAGTGGGATTCAGCATAAAGGAATCTGAGCCAGAGATAGGCCTTCTCAGAGCTGAAGATGAGGGATTTGATTTTTATGCACACACACTGCTCTTTTTTATGGGACTGCATTGTTTTGATTATATTTGAGTATTTTAGCACTGTGAATGACTCAGGCTTGCCTGACCTGGTCTTGTTCGGTGCAGTGGTGCCTTGTTTATACAAACTGAGGAAGTTTGTATAAACAATACCAGGTTTGTAATCTTTTCGCATAAAAGGCTGAATTTCAGTCCCATTAGATCCCTGGAAACATTAATCGCCTCTGTCCGTCTCTCTCACCCACTAGTACAGCCATTCTTGTTCACACACTTGTTACATCCTGCATTGATTATAGTTATTCTCCTCTCTTTGGTCTCACTCTCAAATTCATACATTAACTTCAACTGGTTCAGAACTCTGCAGCCCGTATCATCACCAGAACACCCTATAGTAATCATATCACTCCTGTCCTTCAGCAGTTTCATTGGCTCCCAGTTAAATACCGCATTGATTTCAAGACTCTGCTCTTTTGAAATCCCACCTGAAAACACATCTATATCTAACACAATCACTGTTTATCTGGGCACAGCAATCTTTTGTTTCCAGTTGTTTATGTACCCTGATTTTATTTTCATGTTTTGTTAGGTGACCATGAGTGTTCTGAAATGCGCCTATAAATAAAATGTATTATTATTATTACAACGTTGATTTATCTTCACTCGAGCTTCTCAGAAGGAAGCTTCCCTGTTGGACTATTACTTATAATTATATCAAAACTGGAATTTACTTGGAGAAAAGAAAGCGAGGATGTTGAACTACCTGGTGAGTTCTGAAAATATGTGTCCGTTACTTTATTCCAGCTGTTGTTGTACTTTACATGAATTCATTTAGCTGACACTTTTATTCAAAGCAACTGAGCAAAATTCTGCTATGGGGCCGTAGTAGCTGACTTGTGAGCAATATAAACTATTTGCCATTGTTGCACACCTCACTACAATCCTCCCTCCTTTAAAACAGCCTGAATGGAAACCTCTTCTAGAAAAGCTTTGAACAGACCTCTGCGCACCAACATAATCTTCATAAAGTCTGTTAAGACTGGGGGCCAATCTGCTGGGTCATTTGGTGGAGCATCAACTGTTCTATGAGAGTCCGAGCTGCTTGTGTCTGATGCTGCCCGTACATCTCTGGCTGTGCTCGTTCTGGCTGAGGCTGCCTGTGTTTCACCTGGGTCTGTGTGACCTGCTAAAGACGTCTAGACTGGGTCTGTGCTTGTACTGGCTGATGTTCCAGCATCTAATCTACTGACAAACTTAAGCATAGCCCCTGTAAACTATGGATAACAATACTAGATATTAATATTAATTAATTTATAAATTCCAAGCTGCAGTTTATAAACACTGTTGCCCGTCAGCAGTCATCAAACGTAATAAATAATTGTAATTCTCTCAACCATTGTTCAAAAACAAAATCTGGCAAGAGAGAGACTCACTGCAAGCTAGCACAAACCTTTGCTGACATCAGACTTTGAAAGGAGAAGAGGGAAGAGGCTGAGGAGAGAGCACAAATTTTACCTGATTCATGTTGCCGAAAGTCAGTCGAGTTTTTTTCACTTCTCATGACCAGAAGGAGAGTCCCTCTTCATCCTCTCATTAAAATTGCTTCATACTTCCTTTAGGCAATATTATCAGGAAATATTCCATAAACTTTCATTGTTATGCAGATGATACTCGGTTATATCTATCAATCAAGCCAGATGAAACTCATCAGTTAGCTAAACTTCAAATGTGCCTTCAGGATGTTAAAACCTGGATGACCTGTAATTTTCTAATGTTAAACTCAGATAAAACTGAAGTTATTGTTCTGGGCCCTAAGCACCTCCGTGACGCATTATCTAAAGATATAGTTTCCCTGGATGGCATCGCCCTGGCCTCCAGCACCACTGTGAGGAATCTTGGAGTCTATTGTTATTATAACATTACGATTGTTATCATTAACACTATAACACATTAACACTACATTTTACGATTACTTCAAATGGAACTTCTTTTTCGTCTTTGAAACAAGATCTTGTGGACTGAAATGAAAATGAGAGAGACGAAATTGAGAGAAATGAAAGTGAAGGTATATAAAGAGTTGCATTTATAGTGAAGCTCAAATTCAGTTTCATTTATGAGATGATATCTGGCTGAAAACAAAAGCAAGATAAATATATGCAGGAATGCTACAGTACAAGTAATCGTAACTCTCTTCATGGTTATAGATCAGAACAAAAACTTTTTAGCTCCTCCCTCTTTCTCTTCTTTTGTTCCACTGAACAACCAAACCAGTGTGGATGTCTCTAAACTTGTGAATGACTAAATACAGGCCTGACAACTTTTAAATTTAGTTTGAAGTGAGATTCAGTATTTGCTGAGGTCGTTGCATTTTATGACTAGCATTCTTGCCAACTTCCAGACATCAAAGCCTAAACTGGGAGACAAACCTAACCTGGTCTCTAAGAATATATAACAATATAATATAAATATAAAATATATAATATAACAAAATATAACATAACAGAATATAATGTAGTATCATATATAAGACTTTCAAACATTATGTATTTCTTTCTTTCATGATTTAGTATTCCCTCCTCTTTTGTGTCTTTTATTTGGGGAAGTAGCCTCTTTAAACATGATTGTGGCATCTTTTCACCTCAATGATGAATTAATTGACTCCAGGACTTTAATAGCTTCTGCTCATGCTCAGGTTTTCTGCTCATGTTCAAAATGTGTTTGTTGTCATGTTGAGAAAAAAGTCATAATATTACATAACTAACGTTCTCATTGAATGAAATTCATAATACGTGGTTGCTCCACCTGTAGGATCCCCTTCAGACCGTCTGGCAGACACAGAACCCCGTTTGGGACTGGACTTATAAATAGTAGGCTAAGAAAAAATTGGTTTCTGCATTGCAGTGTTTTAAACCCAACCATTTTGGCGTGCCGTTAATTGTCCACTTAACCAGCAGCAGCTCTAGCACAGGAAGCTTTTTTCTATAATATCAAGCAGGAGAGCCTCAGGCGCGTCCCAGTGTCTCGCATGCACCAAACATGACATCTAGACTTTTCTCAAAGAACATAAAAGTTGAGTCCGTCACAGTACAGCCACAGTCCGTTAGACCTGTAGACTGCCATTCTTTTTTGTAGTAGTAGTAGTATTATTGTGTTTTATTGTGACATGTATTATGTCAAGTGTCTCATATACAGGATATATGTCCCTCTTTATATCCTCCTGGTTGTTGTTTCTTTGTGTTTTGTCCCTTCTCAATCTGGTTCCTTGGCCCTCAAATCAGGATCTACATACAAGCTTTTTCTAAAGCTTTCTACTGTAGCACACAGTCTTTCTCAAACGACTATTTCCAAGGTCAAGCATTAAAGTGATTAAAGTAAGACTGTGTCAATCATGAAAGAAAAAATTAATTTCTTGTCCTCTTACAAAAGTTGAACTCTTGCTCAGTTCAACACACTCAGGTTCTTTGCTGCCTTTTGCAGCATTCAGACCAACAGCGAATGTTCTCCTCGCGACGCTTTCCTCGCGTGAGTACATTCGCTGCAAGTGTTCACACACAACGCGAGAAGGCGATTTTAACGCGACAATGTCAACAAACACAACTTGCCATTACTACAGCTGTATGAACCCAAAGTAAACATTTTGCTGTGATTAAATAGCAATAAACAGATTAAACTGATGCCAAAATAACTACAACACGATGCAGATTTGTTAAACATATGAATTCATGCTTTGTCAGGTCTGTCAGCAAGACAGCAACTTCTAAAATGTTTGTTTTCTGAATGGAGTTTGGATCGATCAGGGCTATGCTATGCTAACTTGGTCACAGTAAAGTACAACGATGGCTGTAATAAAGTTACACACACATGTTTTCTGAACTCACCAGGTAGTTCAACTTCCTCACTTTCTTTTCTCCAAGTAATGTCCAGTTTTGTCCGTATTTTTGCGCATGCGTAAGACCCACAAGCGTGGTCTGTTTCCACGCCCATAAATCTGTGCAACCTTGCTGTTAGGAATGCCGTCGAGACAGTGGCTCATCGTCAGTATCATAAAAAAACAAAAAGTCATCACAATACGCTACCCTTGATATCTTAAATAAAGATGTTATAATATAGTATTTCAACATGCTCCCCATCTCTTTACAGTACACATGGAGTGAGTAGTGGTGCAATATAAAATTTTTCTGTAATGGAATACGCTACCCCTGAAATAATGTTATAATATAATCAAAAAACAGAATATGTCATAATACTGTGAGAGTTATAACTTTATGGGATTGGAAAAGGGAACACATAAGGTAGCATTTTTCGATAGGGCAGCATAGATCGTCAGAACACCGGCCAGCAGATTTTTAATCCCCCGCTCTGCCCGGCCCTCTCCACACAACGCACTGAAGCCGTTGGTTATGTACGGACAATCTCAGCACTGAGCTATTGTGACTCAGCGTCATGCGACTTCTTCGCTTGAGTTGAAAATATTCAACTCATGTGAATTCCTTTGCATTGCCTTCACGTTGCCTTCGTGTTGCCCACGCCCCGCCCCCTTCGCGTCGCTTCACACAGCACGACAGGAAATCGCGGCTCTACGTGTCTTTGCATTGACTTTGTATGTAAACTCACCGCCCCGAAAGGGTCTGAAAGAACCATTACTTCGTCTGGTATGGTGGCTAGTCAGTGAGATCTAATTGTGTCACACCCACACAGTCTGATGAAACTGATTACTATCTTATGAAATCATCAATAAATTTAATAATATTATTATTATACATTAATAAATGTAAATTATAGATATTTTAATAATTTTTACTCAGGTTATCAAGAAATACTACAATTTCTAGGTCTTTAATCAATATTGAGGTAATTTGCAACAACTTCAAAGAATAACTTTGGTAAACCTTTATTGTTTTTATGCAATAACAGACAAAAAGCAGATTCACACACAACCCTTTGAATCAGAACATTACAGAGTCCTCCAATCACAGAAGTTTTGATTAATTATAGACACCTCCATCAGAGACACGTGTGATGACATATCAGAGATCAGCATTTACAAACACACTCCACACTACATGTCGGTCTAGCCTTGTTGGTCTCACAACCAGCTGTGCTGGATGGGGTTGTTGGTCTAGCTGTGCTGGTATCACAAGATGCGGGTGTGGGTGTGGGTGTGGATGTGATTGTGGGTGTGGGTGTGGGTGTGGGTGTGGGTGTGGGTGTGGATGTGGATGTGGATGTGATTGTGGGTGTGGGTGTGGGTGTGGGTGTGGGTGTCGGTGTGATTGTGGGTGTGGGTGTGGGTGGGGCTGTTTGTGTGGTTGGTGGTGCTGCTGTTGTTGTTAGTGCAGCCGTGGTGGTTCTGGTTGTTTGAGCCGTGGTGGTTCTGGTTGTTGGTGCAGCCGTTGTGGTTCTGGTTGTTTGAGCCGTGGTGGTTCTGGTTGTTGGTGCAGCCGTGGTGGTTCTGGTTGTTGGTGCAGCCGTGGTGGTTCTGGTTGTGATCTGTGCGTTGCCAGAGGCTGTTTTGTGCGGAAAATGTCAAATCAGATTTACATTAAGTCTCGAGGCAAGTTTAGATCTTTATTTGGAATGAAAGTTTCTCTTACCAACAAACAGAAGAAGGACGACACAAATCTTTGCAATCATGGTGATGCAGTGATAGTTTCTCCTGTGTGGTGACTGAAAAATATAATTGGTAAATTTAAAAAGTAAATTAAAAGCTGAAAATGGTTATTTGCATTTTAAACAGGAGGAAAAATTTACTTAAATTGTTTGCTCATATTTTCTGCAAACCTGTCTTTCACTGAAATACCAAATAAAATAAAACCTTAAAGCTTCTGAACCAGTAAATAAAAGAAAGACAACAAATAAAACGTCTCCAACCTCTCCTGGTTCTGCCCTGCTAGATAACAGTTAAGGAATGACTATTATCGTTTCTTCTTTGGCTGACTATTAATTTAATTTATTGCATATCTTTACAAAAAGGTATCTACAGCAAAAAGTTATGTTTAAATAATAATACTATACTATTACGGTAAACTGTATTTGTATAGCACTTTTCATACATTCGATGCGGCTCAGTGCTTCATGTCAAATTGTGTGAAAACTTCTAAACTAGCTGAATATCAGGCTTGCCTTGAGGACATAATAACCTGGATGACCTGCGATTTTCTGATGTTAAACTCAGACAAAACTGAGTTATTACAAAGTCATTATACCTGGCGCCAAACATTTCTGAAGCACATTCTCTAAAGATATGGTACTCTACATGACAATTCTAAATTCTTGCAAAAGCAAATTGGATTGCTTTATAGTGAAGTAATATTAGAAGTACTTACATATTATTATTCTCTGCTTAAATGTTGTTCGCTGCTGTGAATGAAGCTGTGATCTCTCTGGTTTCAGCTCCTCTATATAAGCATGTTCGAGATGACATCAAAATCTTTTTGTTCTCACCTTTAACAATGAAGAGAGTCATCGTTACTCGTACTGTAGCATTCCTGCACAGTTTTTTTTACCTTTATTTGTGTAATGATGTGTAACTCTCTTCATTGTTGAAGGTGAGAACAAAAAACACTTTGATTCCGCTCTCTTTCTCTGCTTTTGTTCCACTAATACAACCAACCCAACCGGTGTGGATTTCTCGAAACTTGTCAACTTACTATTAATTCATTCACACCGGTTTCTACATTCCAGTGCATTAAGCCCAACCTGTCCTCATACCTAAAAGACAGATATGTTGCTTGCCAATGAATTGTGAAATAGTTGTAGTTTGGTTTGGTCTGGGAAGAAAACAACTCGGTTGGGTTGAGGAAAATATTGTGGTTTGGGTTAGAATCAAACCAAATTTATTATGTAAGTTCAAACTTAACTTTCACATGGAACACAAACCCCAATCTATTGGGGGAAATTCCTGTGTTTTCCATTCACCCCATCTAACTTCTTACAAAGACTTTTGCACTCTTCATTGTCACCTGTCTTCCTCCTTTGCTCCCGTCAAACAAAATATGCTTGTTGCAATGTTGACCTATACAGTTGTTTTTTTGATGAGGACAGGCTTGTTAAACCTGATGACTCTTCCTGGTTTTCTGATGTCTCAGTTTTACCACAACACAGCAACTTCACAGACACATCATGTCAGTAAGATAAGACACAAAACTAGATGGCCATAAGTGTTGTTGTAACCCCACCATGCAACACTCGTTCAAATTAGATGACCTGCTATTTTTTGACGATCAAGTCAGACAAAGCTGAAGTTATTATGCCTGGCACCAAACATCTCTGAAACACATTATCTAAAGACATCTTACTCTAGATGACAGTTTTTGCAATGCTCATTGCAAATAAAAAAATCTAATCCAAAACAAATTTAATTGCTTCATAGTGATATAACAACCTTTACTTATTCAGAGAATAAGACTGAGACCAGGGTCTCTTTTACAGCTGAGCTGTGTATAGAGCAAACAAACAGATACAGATATTATAAAAAATTATCTAAATATATATAATAAAAAAAACACAGAATTTACAGGTAATAATTACATTACACAGTTATGAAAAAAATATAAATATCTAGGTTAACCTTGTACCTGTTATTTCTTCTAAGAATGAGCAGCGTTGTATTCAAAGGCACAATCTTTAGGACTAACCAATCTTTGGAACAATTCTGCCGACTTTCCCATTTATTTTAGAGGATAGATAGCTGAGAGGTTTAAGCATTATAGCCTTATGGATAAATAATAACCTGTCCCTGGTACTCCCGACGAACAAAGAATCCCACCCCACTAGAGGTGGAGCTGGCCCTACACCTTCAGGACCCTAAATCAAAATTTGCCGTGCGTACTCCCTACATCTGGCAAAGAAACATCACATCTCTTGTTGTAAGTATGACCTGAAGAATCTTTCTTATATTTTTCAACCTGCCATGTTTATTATTTAGCACCAAAACACCAAACCAAATTGCTTAAACCTACATGGCAACAAATCTGATTCCTAGAAAAACAATAACTAGACTATACTCTGTATTATTATATCTATTATGTTTGATGTCAAACAGGTCAATTTTAATATGCTACTGAGCTGAACTGCAGCTCAAGACACACTGATGATGAACTTAGCTCTGAATACACAGACTGATAACGTGATTATGACTGACCCAAGATAAATCTTTCACAACAGACGAACAAGAGTTTGAGACATAAACTACAAAACAGTAGACTGCAAACATTCTTTGAATATGTCAACAAACTTTCTTATGTGTGAACTGAACATGTAATGATGATGATCCTCATGGGACTCTTTCTGGTTTGGAACCCATACATCTTTTTTATTACAGCCAACTACTGACGAAACTACGCTTGCTGTAGCCTGGTTTATTCGCTCCAAAGCAGCTGATGGAAACGCACCATCTTTCACATTTACTTTCTTTTTTGTTTTCATTTTTGCAACATTTCAAAAGTCTGCTTAAAATTTACATGACACTTAGATGGAAACATGGCAAGTGTAGTATAAAAGGAAATGATCTCCATCTACACCAACGTTCAGCTGCGGATCAGAATTGATCTCCATCTATATTAAAATGACAGAAAAGAAACATCTAGTGCCGTTCACGTATACTGAGCATGCGCGAGCCGGTTTAAACAGGAAGCAGATTGTCTGCTCTGCAGTTGTAGAAGATTCAGCGAAAGTAGAAAGTCCTACTACAGACGAATGAAGAATTGCAATGGCTAAGAACCACACTAGAGATGTTTGTGCATTGACAAACAAAGAGGTGGAACTATTACTGAAAGTATCACGGCAGTACAAAGCATCTATGGCCTATAAACTAGGTGTGTATTAAATTGATTTTCATATGTTCTTTGTACCATTTTAATTTTATGTTAACTTTTCAAAACGTCCACAAGAGGAAGTTAATTTGTTAACTTAGGTTCGGGAGCGGGACCACACCTCATCCACGCCTCCAATCACCTGTCAAGGCTACATATAACCCCCCCCATGCTTCCCTCATCCCATCATCCCCCATCCCTTCCTATTCAATCAGCGCACAGCTCTCTCATGTCTCATGAGATGCCAACCGTCTGGGGGGGCTTGAAATAGGCTCAGGCGAAAACACTTCCGAGACGGAACCCCGACACTGACAACCAAATTAAAAACTAGTGTGCTGATGATGCATAATATAGAGACAGAGCCAGGCCTGACCTCCTAAGCAAAACTCTGCTATTGGGTCCTCCCACCTGACTCGTGAGCCATTGCTGCATTCACACCTGACAACCCAGTGCTCTCACTACCATTCTCTCTCCTTTAATACAGTCTGTAAATGTTCCATACTTGTATAGCACCTTTCTAGTCTTTCTGACCACTCAAAGCGCTTTTACACTACATCTACATTCATCTACACCATTCCCACACTGAGCCTAAGTGCTCAAACAGAAACTAACATGGCGGAACAGCCGCCAGGGGCAATTCGGGGTTCAGTATCTTGCCCAAGGACACTTGGGGGAGCCGGGATTGAACCGCCGACCTTCCAATTAACGGCTAACCCGCTCTACCTGAGCCACAGCCGCCCGTTCTGTCTGTGATAAGCCTGAATGAAACTTTTCTAGAGAAATCCTGTGCTGGTTTGAATGGACCTCTGCGTACTGACTCAGTCTTCATAAAGTCTGTTAAGACTGGGGGCCAATCTGCTGGGCCATTTGGTGGAGCAGCAACTGTTCAGGGGGTCTGAGCTGCTTGTATCTGAAGCTGGCTGTACATCTCTAGCTGAGGCTGCCTGTGTTTCACTTGGGTCTGTGATGTGGTAAAGATGTCTGTACAGGGTCTGTACCCGTACTGGCTGATGATCCAGCATCTGCCGTACTGGCTGATGATCCAGCATCTGCTGTACTGACAAATGTCAGCATAGCCCCTGTAAATTCACCTGCTAGATATTAGTCTGGTGTTGTTACTAAACCTTGACTGAGAGACAGATCATCATTGTCTGGTTTTAAAATGAGGAGGGCCATGAAGCCCACACATTGTCTGGACTATTATTCAAAGAGATTTTCATCAGATGTGCATATATACACATGTTCACGCACAACGCAATTTTATTTTCCAAGCTGCAGTTTATAAACTGTTGCCCATCAGCGGTTATCATCTCATCCATCCATCCATCGTCAACCGATCCTGCGTACAGGGTTGCGGGCTGCTGGGGCTAATCCCAGTTTACATTGGGGTACACCCTGGACAGGTCACCAGTCCATCGCAGCAGCGGTTATCAAACGTAATAAAAAGTTGTATTTCACTCTAACATTGTTCAGACACAAAGTCTGGCAAGAGACTGCAAACTAGCACAAACGTCACGTTAGTTGTTTTCTGACATCAGACTTTGAAAGGAGCACAAATATACCAGATTTTTATTAATTTTGTGACTATATTGTCTATTTTCCTCTAAATTACACCAAAATTTACTAAAGGAACATCATGCTGTGTTGAAAAGGACGTGAAGCTGACGACTGAGATCATAGGTTGCTGACGTTGCTGACGTACTGCGGTAAGCGTGTTGACTCATTTCCGTTTCCGGTGCTTGTGTTTTGGTACCGTGTTGTGCTGCTCTCGCTAAATACCAGTTACATTTGTTAGATTACAGCGGCCAACTGTCTGCTAAACACTTATTCTTACAGTAATTTTGCCTAAGCACTCACAGTTCTTTCCATCTTTTAGTGACTGCTATTCAATCTCATAGTTGTTTAAAAGTTTTTGTAGCTAATGCTACAGTACTTTAGCTTAGCTGGTAGCGACATTAACTTAGCAGCTAGCGATGGCTTCTCCCTCTCACACTCCTACTTTCTCCTGCTCGGTGTATCAGATGTTTAGTTACTCCTCTGCCTTCTTTAGCGGTAATGGTACGTGTAATAACTGTAGTTTATTTTTAGACATGGAGGTGAGGCTCATTGATTTAGAAGTCCGGCTCCGCACCTTGGTAGATCAGACTTTAGCTACTGTAGCTAGCCAGTCCCCGGTAGTCGGTGCGGAACGGCCTGAGTTAGCCTCTGGTAGCCGTCCCCCGGCATCCCCTGTGCAGCCAGGAAGGTGTGGCTGGGTGACTGTCCGAAGGAGGAATAGTCGTAAGCATTCAAAGCCAACGGGGCACCATCAACCTGTTCACATCTGTAGCACCCTGCTAAATATATAGATTGTTTCCTTTGTGTTCTGCTAATAGAATTACAGTATATCCTGAAATATGGGCCAGTTCAATTGTCCCTGGTGTGTAATACATTTTTGTATTAATATGTATTAATTAAGTTATGATATCCAGCTATATCCTATGTTGTGAGTAGCCCTTGAACCTCCCAGGTCATTTTCTTTTGTATTGGGTGGCCAGGTGTCAGTTTTGTTCATTATCCAATCAGTGCCAATCACAAAGCAGTTTTGCAGCCTACCGGGCTTTGAGGGGGCGGGACTAAAAAAAGGGAAAAATGGAAAAGAAACGGGGACGGGAAAAAATAAAAAGACGAAGACGAGGAAAGAACACAGATACGCTCAGAGCTGTAAGAGGTTGTAAATTCCGTAGGATTAATAATATTACTTGTCCTACAAGTTAAGAGCCAGGAGA